TAACTGAAATAATATCAGCTGTAGGTCTGATGGCAATTTTTAGAATATATATTTTAATTGCATTTTAATTATTTTGCCCTTTTATTTTGCCTTTTTATTGTATTTTAAATGCTGTAAGCCTCCCAGAGATCTTCGGGTAGTGTGGGCGGCATATAAGTTAAATAAATAAATAAATAAATAAATAAATAAATAAATAAATAAATAAATAAATAAATACTTTCATCAGATAAAACTTGTTAATTTTTAAGCTATCGCAAGAATTTTGTTGGTGTTGTTCTGTCAATCCACTTGTGAGGAGGTGGATCATGAACCATTAAAACACATATTGAAATGACTCTGTCTCAAAGATTCTAGAACTTATTTTTCTTCCTTTGTTCTGTTTGTTATACAAACTCAGACAGATTAACATGGCTATCTCTTTGAAAATCCCCTCAAGAACGTTATTCTTGAGAAACTATGGAACACAACACACTAGAACAGCAATAAGATGTTCTAGCTCTCTGTACTAATGCTCTTCTGAACATTTTTCCCATGGGAATTTTTGCCATTCCTCAAAGAATTTGACAAAAAATAAATTCCCTCCAAAAAAATAATTTGGAGCCAGGGATGTAGCTCAGGGTTCTTGCAATTACCTTCTACGAGACAGTCGACACTGACTGGGTGCATGTTTTGTGTTTAAATTGTATAATTCTCTCTGTGGCAGCCAACAGGCTCCTCACCCCCAATTCCCACACTCCAATTAAGACTTCAATTAAAGCTTTTCAGAACAGGAAGTGTGGGCAGACAGTCAAGCTGTAGACTGATGATGAAATGTGTAGTAGAAAGAAGGAAAACACAGTATCACCAGCCAAAACAGAGAAATGAAACTTGCGTGCTCTCAATCTCTCTCTCTCTGTGTGTATGTGTATTACCTTATCATGATGTGCTGTAAATGTATGATCTGACCTTCCAACAGGCTGTTCTCCTTTGACTTCACACTTTTGCCATGTTAAAGATACTTGGGCAAGGGAAGAAGAGAAAACAATGTAAACACATCTTGCATTCTTTGATATTTTTCACTATTTGCGAAATCAGTTATTTTTCAGAGCCTTTCATACTTGGATCCATTTATTCTTATCACAACAGGAATGCCACACTGTGCAGCCCCCAAACTAGGCTGTTTTATGTAATTCTAAATGTTTCCTGACAGGACTCTTAATCTCTTTTATCTTTAATTTCACAGCTATAGCCTCTGGAATAACAGAACAGAGTGCAGATTTGTGGACAATTGTTAAGAGAAACAACCAAAAGACTTGTCAGTGCTGGCATTATTAGGAGAACAGATCCACATAGCCCTATTAGGCAAAATGAGAGCTGGGAAGTAATATCTTTTCATAATGTGATGCCATTCTGAAAAACATAAACTGTAAGAAAAGCCAAGATATCATTCAGTGAAGGCCAATGAGATAAGACTGAAATGAAAAATTGTATGTCATTTCACATGTTAACCTCTGAGAAAGCACATTAACACAGCATGGAAGATTGCCAGAAAGAAAGAAAGAAATACCTGAACAGGAAATAGCACATGCACCTATATATAAGGGTTTAGATCTGGACAAAATCAGTCACACTAAGCTTCTATTGAAATCCATGAGGCTTCAGTTATTTATGGCTGAATTTTTATACTGATTTAAGAGGTAGCTAAGCCAAACTAAGCAGGTCTAGACCCAGTCTGAAAAGTCTACTATGTTTAATTTTAAATGAATTATTTCACTAATATACAACTTTAATGCTTTTTAAAAGCAAAATGATAATAACAAAGTGCTCGTCACTTATTCAACTACTGTTGCACTATCAGCCAGAACAGTGAGAATTATTAACAGCTTGGCTGTTACTGAGTAATAGAATGCTACTTTTTTTTCCTCTTTAGATATCCATACATTAACTTATTTTCTAGTTGAAGAATGGAATTAAAAGTTAATTTCTGTCTTCCTGGGTAGATAACTATCTGAATATCTCTGTTTTTCTCTGGAATTCTCTGAAGGTTGTTTCTATGATAGTCTGGGTTCATTACATTTACTTTCATCTATTTTTTAAAAAAACAAGTCACCCTACAACTAGCTCACAACTGTAATTCAGTATAACTAACTCACAACATTTGCTAACTCAACAGGAATTCATATGCTGAGAAAAATTATCTTCAATAAAGATAGACACCTGTGTCCAATGCAAAGATATCAGTACAATACTCATCTTCATTGGAGCAGCCTCCAAACATGTAGATGATTTCTCCAATAGTTGCAAAAGCATGGCCTGACCTGAAAAATTAAACAGCATTTGAACCAAATGGTGTGCCTTGCAGTTCATTTAAACAAATGTTCCTGAAATCAGTATACTACAGTGGGGTCTCTACTTAAGAACTTAATCCGTATTGGAAGGTGGTTCTCAAGTTGAAAAGTTCTTATGTTGAATCTGCATTTCCCATAGGAATGCATTGAAAACCATTTAATCCGTATGTGCTCTTTTCCGTCCATAGAAACTACAGTGGAACCTCTACTTAAGAACTTAATCTGTTTTGGAATGGAGTTCTTAAGTTGAAACGTTCTTAAGTTGAAGCAAAATTGCCCATAGGAATGGACTGAAAACCAATTAATCCGTTCTGGCTGTTTTTTTGTTATGTAGAGGTGCGTTCGTGCATTGAAGCATTAGTTCCCATAGGAACTAATGCAAAGCTGGTTAATACGTATTCTACCACTAGGGGGAGAATTTTTTTTAACCTAAGATGACCTAAGGTTTAAAAAAGAGCAGGAAAGGTTTTTTTTCCTATTCTTATCTTGGATTTCTGTTCTCAAGTAGAAGCAAAATTTAGCAAATGGAGCTGTTCTTAAGTTGGATTGTTCTTAAGTAGGGACGTTCTTAAGTAGAGACCCCACTGTATAGACATTAAGCTCAAGGAAATAAACATTGGGTTCACTCATCCGTAAAGATACTTCCTCTTTGAAGGAGAAAGATTGAATGGATAATTCCTATCCATCTACTTCCAAAAGGTAGATCTTCAACAGCAATACATTCTATCTAAGAGCAATCTCCCTAGTTTTGGAATGGGCTGAATCTAGGAAATGATTTTTGCAATTTTAAGCACTCAAAAAATAATAATAAAAATCTAGCAATTACAGGAGTGCTACTTCTGTCCTCTGAAGATGCCGGCCACAGAGACTGGCGAAACATTAGGAAGAAGAACCTTCAGAACACGGCCAAAGAGCCCGAAAAACCCACAACAACTAATTACATGAGCTATTTGAAATCCCAAGTTACTACATGATATTTGGCTGAAAAGGGAAGAAAAAGCAGAACACAGATATAAGGGAAAGAAACAACAGAAGAAGAATCATCTGGAACTGAAGAAGTAGTCTACAGCCCACAATTCTACTCCAAATAAAACTTGCTAAATTTTAAGGTGCTGCTAGACCCTTTGCTGTTTTAATGACATAAGAGGGGATCTAATTATTCTAACTTAGCAGATACTCATCTAATCACCTGCTAACTAGAACTACGCCATGATAGACAAAACTGGGCCACAATATTGTTACCTTCAAGGAACTTCCATCAAAATATTTCCCTGCTTCAATTGATGAATGGTGGAATAGGGATCACCAAGGAACCATGTCTCTCTTCATTCCAGACAGAACTGACTGTGTTATTCCTGATACAAGACCTGTTTTATGGCTGTAAGCAGGGTATTATTTGTGTGTGTGCGTGCGCACGCGTTCTGCAGCACACTGTCATTCGGTGTGCACATCTAGTATGACATCCCTCCCTTACCCACCAAGGGTAGCATCATAAAGTATGCAACCTGAACAACAGGTAGAGTCCAAAGGTAAGCACTCTCCTTTGGATAGTTGTTTGCTGTCCAAAGCCTTTGAACTGTCATTTAGAGTTTTTTGAGCACAAACAGCAATATCAAGTACCCTATAAGAGAAACTGGAAATAGTAACCTTTTTCTCAGTAGATACCAGGAGTTGGTGGATTTCAGGGGTTGCACATTATTATATGCTTGATACCCAAATTGACCTCTTCCTCAGCCTGTGCTCAATATTTTTTTCTCCAAACACATTCCTAGTGTTTTCCCCTCTTCTAGGCTCATTTGCTCACTTCCCCTGTACCAGGGCTGAGGTGTCTCTGTTTTTTCCCCCCATCCTGTCAGCATAGCCTCCCAACCTCTTCTCCCAGTGTTACTAAGAGAACTGGCATAACAGGTAGGCAGAGCAAAGTGAGGGGGCAGCTAGCTATTGATTTGGGAGGTGGGAGTCTTGAATTGACAAGTAGTAAATCCATACATTTTGAATTGTGTTGATGCTTTACCTTTTTTATTCTACAAAAGGAACAGTATGAACAAATAGCAGGAATAGGTTTAACTCATTAAATGAGGGGTAAACCAGGAAATCACTATGGATAGACAGGAATGCATTTGCAATATTCAGATCATTTAAAGCAGGGGTCTCAAACATGCGGCCCGGGGGCCATTTGCGGCCCCCCAGATGATAGTTTGTGGCCCTTGCCTTGCCTGCCCCCCCCCAAAGCGCCCACACATCCTCTACTGTCAAGAGTAAAAAAAAAAAGCCTTGCCTCGCTCGCCGGCTCTCTCCCAAGACAGCACCTCTTGCACCCTCCATCCAGAACTGCAGCCTGCCAGCCAGCACACCTGTCAGTCAGCTAAGGAAACTCCTGGACGGCTTCCTCGGGCTCTTGCTCCGCTTGGCGGAAAATCTGATGCGGCCCAGGCTCACCCAGACTCTGCCTCTAGCGGCCCCCAGATAAATTGAGTTTTAAACCCCTGATTTAAAGCAAGACAGAAATGGCAAAGGTAAATGGTAGCAGTAGGAGATTTCATCAAAAGGATAATTCCATGATGTGGCATGAGATTCAGGTGACACCTTAAAGAGCTTTGTTAAAAATTGCTATAATTAATAGAAGGATGCTGTATCTTAAAATAATGTGTAATCTGTCTGTAGATTTCTTATTTTCTGAAGTCTCTGTGTTAATTTTTCCACAGGGACCAGATGCCAATGTCTAGATTTTTTGTACTCAATAAAGTACACCTCTTTTCCAATGAATTGTTCTTTCTGATCTTGCGACCTGACATGTGAAAATAATACTTTATGCTGCAAGTTTTGATTCTTATCTTTAAAAAACAACAAAAGCACTGGAGGGAGGTAGAGAAAAGCTTATTGTCTGCTCAATTATTTTCTTTATTTCACTGAACATTTTCATTCAAAACAAGGAATTAGCAGCCAGGTAAGATTGCCAAATATTGGAAATCAGAATGAATGCTTTATAGTCCATCTCTTGCTTGGTTTTCAAACTCTTGTTGAAATAATTAATTTTGAGCCAGGCAAATACCAATCATGTATCAGCTTGATGATATGTTTGTGAACACTAGAAGAAACTGATTTCATAAAAAAAAAGAATTGTACAAGGTGTAGTGCATAACTCATCTTTAATTTTGCTCTTGAGCTCTTTTTACCCAAATGTTTTCAATCACTAATATTGTTCCATAAGTGCAATCAAGCATTGCATTATAAATTTTAGATAGTTGATAATTTGAGGTCCAGTACACTTTGCTTCCGTATTCTCTGCCTGGAAAACTTTGAAAAGGGTCACCATAAGTCAGAACTGACTTGATGGCACATTATTATTATT